AGGAGGCCCTGACTACCTCCATCTCCAGCCTGATTGACCAGGCCGAGGCCCAGCCGAGGGCCGTTCTTTTCGGACCCAGGGCCACCCACCAGGAGGTACAGGAGTGGTTTGATGTGGCCTGCCTCATCTTTGGGCCACCGCTGGACGTCGAGACCCTTTGAGCGGTTTGGTGAGGTCACGGAGACTTGGCGCCCGCGCTCCTGGGGTAGGGCCTTAGTGTCCTCGGGCGCCGCCTACGTCAAGTGGGCCAGGGACTGCTGGCGCACCAGACCATCAGTGGTCCATCGTCACGTTCGCGACCCTCCACAGCCTGCTGCGCTCGAAGTTCCTGGCGATGGACCCGAGGAGGCCACTGGGGACCCTGACAAGATCATGGAGCACAAGCTGCAGGCGTGGCGGACTATTTGGACTGATCCACAGGCGTCGCGGGAGGACCTGTGCAGGGGCATGCAGGAGTTGCTCCAGCACGCGCGTGGCCACCCTATCAGCGAGCTGGAGGACGATTCCATCATGAGAGTTGTCTCCAGGATGGCTCCCAACAAGGCTCGAGGCGTGGATGTCCTCAGCCCCATCGACATTCAGAGGCTGCCGACCGAGGGGCAGCAGCAGTTCGGCGACTTGTTGCGCGAAGCTGAGAGGGTAGGCCCGTGGTCGGTCCAGCTTTTGCTTGCAGTAGGAGCGACCGCCCCGAAACCTTCAGGAGGTGACAGGGTTATCGGTGTTCTGCCGACTTGCATGGGAGTCTGGCCCAGAGCTCGGGCCCCGATCACGGACCAGTGGTCCCAGGACCTCGGTGAGTTTTGGGACATGGCGATCCGAGGGCCCTCGGCTCTCAGAGCGGCCCTGCAGAGGGCCATCTTAGATGAGTCATCTTTCCAGCTGGGTTTCACCTCGGCCTCCCTCCTCCTCGACCTCGAATTTTTTATGACCGCGTCAGCATGCTGTTACTAATGCGTGTTTCGGTCGAGCAGGGTTCCCCCTCGATTGTCGCCCTTTTAGAGGTGCAGATGTTCCTTGCTCCCAGGGCCCTTCGGTCCAGGAACATCGCGTCGGATCTGACTTTTCCCACCTGTTCTATAGAAGCAGGGTCAGCTCGCGGTGTCAAACTCGCCAAGGTTTTCCTGGGTCCGATTTTGTCAGCCGCTCATGCGGCCTCGGGGGCCCGTGCCGTTGTCTCCTCCGCGGGCCTCTGGACCTTTGTTGATGACACCGTGGCGCGGGCCGAGGGTGCCGAGGATAATGTTATTGCTCAACTCTCTACCATTGGCCAGTCTTTCGCCCGATCGTTTGCCTTGCATCAACTGCCCGTTTCGCCCAAGACCAAGGTCATTGCATCCTCCACTTAAGGTTGGTAAGCGCATTGTGGCCAACCTGAGGGAGGTAGGCATCCCAGCCTCCCTGGCGGTCCAAGCTGTTGACCTGGGTTGCGACGCGGGAGGTGGGGCTCGTCGGGTGGTTGTTAAGCTTTTGGACCGTCGGAGGAGCCCCGTCCACGTGCGCAGCGCATTCGACGCCTGCGTCGCCGCGCCAGGGCGGCCAAAGTGTCCCAGGGGCTTTGGTTGCAGGGGGCCCTTCCTCAGGCCGTACATGGCCATCAGGCCATGGGTCTCTCCCCCTCACCAATCCTAGCCTTGAGGCGTCAGGCTTCCCAATCTGTTGCCAGTGAAAGTCCAGGCCGTTGTCTCACCACGGTGTTCTCTCTCTCTCTCTCTCTCTCTCTCTCTCTCTCTCTCTCTCTCTCTGGTTTATGTTGCGCGAGAGCCCTTCATCGCCTTGAGGGCTCAGGTTTTGTTTACGTGGTTTGACATGTGGGATAGGTTCCCTGAGCTGCATGGCCGCATCTCTCGCGCGTGGCACCACATTCGGGGCCGCCTCGACCTGTTGGCCTCGAAACGCTGGCGTCGGGTGCGGGGTCCGATTGGGGCCGTCGTCGCCACGTTACTCGACGTTGGTTGGAAGCCTGTGTCTCCAGTTGAATGGCGCAGACCCGTGGGGGACCAATATGAAGTTTGGCATTTACCTGATAGAGACGACATTGAGCGCCTTGAAGGCGACCTTGATGTCGTTGAGTTGGTCGAGGATGTCAGGGAAGATTTAACTGCGCTCTTGTGGGCCCAGACAGCGGCCCACCCTCACGGCGATGACCTGTCTGAGGGGGCTGATCTCCAGCCTTTGCGCCAGGAGCTTAGGCGTCTCGAGCGTAGGGATCAGTATGAGCAGGTAGGCCTTCTCACGACTGTCGTGGCTGGAGGCCAGTGGACCCACGTCCGCCAACTTGAGGCGGGGTATGCTGTTGCCACTACCTGCCCCCGATGCGGCTTGGCCCCCGAGACGCTTTTTCCACAGAGTGTGGGAATGCCCAAAGAATTGCAATCATGAGGCCTTTGAGCTCTCTGACGGTTTATGCCACCAAGCCAGAGTGGGACACGAGGCGAATCCCGCCTTGTGGCTCCGCGGCCTACCTCCTAGGTCTTTAGCCTGCCCTGTGTTCAAGGACGGGGGGGCGGACGCGGCTTGGGAGGTGGGGTCGTCGCCGTCGCTAGTCGAGGGATCCTCTGTCGAGGCGGCCAGGTCCCCTGCAGGGCTCCTGCGGGTTATTGGAGATGGCTCAGGAGGTGCCTTCAGCTCTGACCCGCGCCGCCGACGCGTCGGCGCGGCCGCTGCGCTGGCGGCCTGGATGGCGCCAAGCGGCGCCGACTTAAGGGCTGGGCTTCCACCATCTCAGGCCGCCAGACGGCCCCCCAGGGCAGAGCTGTTGGCCTTCGAGCTGGCTCTCCGCAATGTCCCAGGGAATTTCGATTATGTCACGGACAACCAGCCCCTGTTAGAGGGGTGGCGGCGCCGCCGTTCCCTTCGGCGCAGTGGTGCGGCTTCGGACCTTTGGTTTCGCATCCGCCTGGCCCTTGAGGGCCGCGAGAATGAGATTTCTGTTTTGTGGACCCCCTCCCACCTGGACCCCGCCGACCCCTCCTTGTCGGAGGGCCAGGTTCTTCTCGCGGCGGGCAATGAATCTGCTGATGAGTTGGCGGGCCAGGCGGCGCAGGAGTCCTGGGACCGTGCTACTCGTGGTCAGCGTATCCCAGACACCGACCGATGGGACGCCACCTGGTTTTTGGTTCGCCAACGGGCCGCCCAAGCTTTGGCGGAATCCATTCGCGTGGCCCCATGGACCGCGGACAGGCCCAAGATGGGCCGTTCCACTGTCGCCAAACTTCAGGCTGCCCTTAGAGGTAGCTCGCACTGCTTAATTGAAACTGGCGCGAAGTGGATTTGCTCACTTTGCTCGACCATATTTCCCTCGGCGAATGTCTTCGAGGCCTGCGGCCAACCCTGCCCCGCCGTGGGCGAGGAGTTTGGCCACGGAATATCTCGGGTGAGGCGGGCGGTGACGGTGGGGGGGGAGTCCTTGCATCCCAGTCACTGTTTGCATTTCTGGCCCGAACACTCGCTGTATTTTTGTGCTCGGTGTGGCCGTTCGGCTACTGTCGACCCGAGGCAACTACGCAGCGAGTGCGCCCAGTGTTCTAAGAAAGGACACGAGAATCTTCTCCGAATTCGTCGTGGGCTGTTCCCTGGCCACAAGGGTCCCTCGGCCCCTGTCTTGGAGGCCGCTGTCAGTCGGGTCCGACGCGTCGAGGGGCGTCGGTTGATCCCTGGCTCTCGCTAGTCCCGCCTGCCACGTAGACTGTGGCGATCATGACACTCATGACACTCCCCCTCTCCATCCTCTCCTCCCCCCCCCCTCCCCCTCCCCCTCCTCCTCCTCCTCCTCCTCCTCCTCCTCCTCCTCCTCCTCCTCCTCCTCCTCCGCCTCCTCGTGAGTCGGAGGCCTGCGTAGGCTTGACTTTTTAACTCACCCTGTTTTTGTCCCTGCCCCTTCGGCTTGCCGTCTTCAAAACGTGGCAATCCAGCCGTGGAAGGGGGTGGGTGGGAGCACCGTGCCACGAGGCCACGCGTGGTTCTGTCTGACCATAGGACCATGGCGCACTCTAGATGTGATTGCCAGTAATTCCGAGGGGTATTACTCCGCTCTGTAGTCGGTTGTGGGGCGTTGACCCGTGCTGGCGCACCTCTGTTGAGTCGTTCGTTCGTTCGTTCTCCTCCTGCTGCCTCCTGCCTCCTGCCTCCCCCTTTTCATCCATGCTGCCCTCCCTCCCTCCCTCCCCGGCCCCTGCAGGCCCGTCAAGAACGGCCCAGGGTGGAAAACCAGCCCCGGGGAACGGGTCGGGAGGGGAAAAAACACACAGACACTATTAAGCGTCGACTCCCAGGAGATATGGGAAAATACGGGAAGCGATGGGGGAGATCAAAACACAGAAACTATGGGAAAATATTGGGAATCTTGTCATTTGTGTCTATTATACTTTTGTGTCCCAGGGCCCCTGTGTTGGGACATCCGAGTTTTGCACTAGAAGAAGGGCAAGGCGTCGGATGTTTGGAAGTCCGGGGCTTCTCCCCACGGCCCCATAGGGCTGGTTCCTCGGGGCCCCGAATCGTCTTTTTGACGGCCCCCGGGTCTGCCGAGGTCGCGCCCAGAGGCCGGAAACGGCGACAGACAGTCCGTTTTGATTTTTCCAAGACGTTGGATGTCCGGGTTTTGCCTGCACCGTCTCCTCCGACGTTGCATGTTCGTTCGTGAATTCGGACCCCAGGGATCTCGACCATTTCCTCAGGGCCGGTTTTTTGTCCAGGTCGTGTTTTGACGGTCCTGGGGCTAGGAAGCGGCCTCCAGAGGCCGAAAACCCCCAACAACAAAAATAGGCGGCTTATAGTTTTGTTCGGCAGCGCCCATATCTGAGGGTGGGATTTAAAAATCACGGGTTCGCAAGGAGTCAGAACGACAGAGCCCTTCCCGACACCCTCCGAGAGCCCTCCCAGCAAGATCCTGGGAGGCTTCCAGAAGGGCTTCGAGACGCTTTGGGGTGTCACCGGGAGCACCCTCGCGCGTGAGGCTCGCCGGTGGCGGCCAGCCCCCAGAGCACCGTGCGCGCGGGCGCCAGGAGGCAGCTCCGACGACAGCGAGCGAGCCGCGTGTTCGCGGCCGTGACGCGCCGCCGCCGTCGCCGCTGCCGGTCTCCAGGCGCCGCTGCCGCGCGGCCGCGCGGCCTCCTCCACGGTCATTTGCGTCCTCTTCCTGCGCCTCCACCCTGTGCCTCTCCGCGTGCTCTCTCCCCGCCAGATTCGCCCCTCCCTGCCCCTCCCCCGCTCTCCCCACCCACCACCCGACGGGTTCGCCTCCTCTTCTCTCCATCCCCGCTCCTCCTCCCCCATCCTCCCCCGCTTTTTCTTCCTCCTCCTCCTCCTCCTCCTCCTCCTCCTCCTCCTCCTCCTCCTCCTCCCTCCTCATTCCCCACGCTCCTCCAGTGGGTGCGCGGGCGGACCTCGGCAGAGCGAGAGGGAGAGGGAGAGAGAGAGAGAGAGAGACAAAAAAAAGGAGAGCGGCGCGAGGACTGGAGCGAACTGGGGCCTTGTCGGGCGGAGGAGGAGGGAGTTTGAGGAGGAGGGGGAGGAGGAGGAGGAGGAGGAGGAGGAGGAGGAGGAAGTGGAGGAGGAGGACCAGTGTGAACACAAGACGCATCAACGATGTTACAATAAACGCTCCCTCCAAGCTCCGTTGTCATAGGTCCGTAAACTAATTCTAGAAGTTTCGCGTAATCCCACCCCCATGCAGAAGCGATGCCTAGGCGAGTTGCCCTGATCAGAGATGTGGAGGAGCATGTAGTGGAATAGAGGGCTGGGGAAGCCGCCGTACCCCAAGATGGCGAGGATGGAGGAAACATCGGAAGAGGATGAGGAATAGGAGGAGGAGGAGGAGGAGGAGGAGGAGAGCCGCGGGCCCCAATGGGCCTGGAGCTATGCGCGTCGCCCTCTGGTGGGCAACCGCGACGAGATGATCCACAACGCACAATCTCACACATCACATCCCCGTTTCCTGATTCTTCGTTTTGTCACCACTTCCCCTTTACCGAAATTGCATCGAGGCCAGGATGGGGCCTCAGGGATTGCTCTTATCGACAGCGGCCAACCTGGCTTGAAGAAGGCCGAAAGGTCAAGCAAGGCAATCCATAGGATCGGGTTCTCAGCGCGAACACATCGTACTCACATCTCCGTCAAGGACATGTAATGAATTATCTCTTGCATCGACACTGGCATCACCAAAATGCGCACACGTCAAACATGCTTCTCTGCTCATTTCAAAATCTTGTGACAATGATTTGAACGGCAGTCGTACTCCGAACCAGCAGACTTGCCGGCCAGCAGCCCGTCCAGCAGACCATCCACCAGACCAGTTGGCCACCTACCGACCAGCTGACCAGCACACTATGCAGCTGGCAACACAGCAGCACACCCACCGACTAGCAGACCCACCGACCACCGACAGACTGGCAGACCAACTGACCAGCAGGCCACAGTACACCGACCAGCAGACCACCAACTAATGACCAGCAGACCCACTGACCGCCGGCTCGAGCTCCCACCCTACCTACCAGGCATGCCGCAGTTATGGCTTGTACCACCCCCATCCATCGTATGGTGCGCCATATATTCATTTACCTGCGGTTCTGCCTCCGCCGTCACGGACTGCAGGCGATTTCCATGATGACAACGACACTGCCGCTTACGACATACACGACACCAAAGCACCGGCTACGGCGCCACCGCGGTCCACCGTTTCGGCATCATTACGGCGCCCACTGGCATTTTTGCAGATTCACCGACCACCAGACCACCAACCAGCAGGCTATAGACGTACGACGTATGACCAGCAAAGCACCGCTGACCAACAACCCTGGCGACAACATCGACATCCACACCGGCGCCAGCATCATTACGCTACCGAGGAACCCCACATACTGATTTTTAATCTTATGTGTTTGCTTGTCATTATCATCTATGCGCAATGCTGCGTTCTAAACCCTCGTCGCGAATCGTCGTCGTACTTGTCGTACTCGTTGTCGTACTCGTCGTACTCGTCGTCGTACTCGTTGCCGCTCTATCGTCTTACTCGTCATCGTACTCGTCGTCGTACCTCGCCGTCGTACTCGTCTTCGCATTCGTCGTCGTGCTCGTCGCACTCGTCGTCGCACTCGTCGTCGTCGCACTCGACGTCGTCGTACTCGTTGTGTTGGTAGTGCTCGTTGTATTCGTCGCCGCACTCGTGGTCGTCGTCGTCTCCTCCTCCTCCTCCTCGTCCTCCTCCTCCTCGTCCCACCCCATCCTGTCAACTCCTCCGCACTCCTCTCAATTCCTCCGCACTTCCCTCAACTCCTCCGCACTCCTCTCAACTCATCCTCTCATATCCTTCTGTACTCCTCCTTCTGCACTCCTCCGCACTCCTCTCAACTCCTCCGCGCTCCTCTGAACACCTCCGCACTCCTCTCAAATCCTCCTCCTCGCAACTCCTCCGCACTCCTCTCAACTCCTCCTCCTCGCAACTCCTGCACGGCCGCGCACGGCACGGCACGGCACGGCGCCGACGAAAGGCATGGCACGGCAGTGATTCCCGACGGCCCCGGGGCTTTGAGCGTGCCTCCAGACACCGAAAGAAGCGAAAAACCTCCTCGAACCTCGAAGTGCGTCGCCGTCGTCGTCGTCGTCGCCGCCAGACATGGTCAGACCTCCGGCGGCGCAGTGCTCCCTCGGGCCCCGGATGGGGCGGGCGCGGCAGGGGGCGGGAGCGGGGGCGTGGAGGACCGGCCAGAGCTCCTGCGGACCGACGACAACGACCTTTCTCGCCCTGCCTTCCGCCACCATTTCTTCTCCTCTACTCTTCTTCTCCATTTTCTTCTATACTGCTCCTCGGAGGGCCCATAGGGAAGGGAAGGAGGGGAGGGAGGGAAGGAGGGAGGGACTCCTGCTGCTGCCCCGGCTCCTGCCCCCTTTCCTGCGATGGCAGCTCTCTGGTCTCGCGCCCTTCGATGGAAAATCTCTGGGCGACAGCGCATTCTATGAACCCCGAAGACCTTCGATGGAAAATCTCTGGTCTTTGGATGCGGACGACGCTCTGTGGCGATCAGAGGCAGACGTGCCTAGACGGGCACGATGCCAAATCCATGTGGGAAAGCAGCGCGCGTGGCATGCTGCAGCGAACCGCACTCCGGGAAACCGCACTATCTTGGCAGCCATGCTTTCCACAATATGCTCCAGACGCTGTGCCGCAGATCCTGGAAGTTTTGCTGCTTAGTATATGCCTTCGGAGGAGGCAAATTGCCGCCTCCAAAGCCGAGAGCCAGGGTGCTGACTCCAATTTATTTGATGATAAAAGCCAGGCCTGACGGCATTTCGCCAGCCAGTGTTTGAGAGGTCTCGGGCAGCCGTGCCAGGAGGCCACGAGCCCCAATCGAGCCACATGTCTCAGCAATATTATCGCAGGGCGCTGGCCTAGGGTCCGCAGCCGAGCAGAGTTGGCTCGTTGGGCTTCGTAAACCACCGAATTCGCTTCGCGACCGTCGTCACTCACTCTCTTCCTTGTCCCTCCCCCCCGCCGAGAGCCAGGGCGCTGACTCCAGCTTACTTGATACAGGCCAGGCACGGCGGCACTCTGGAAAACGCAGCGCCTGCAGCTCCGCCGAAAAAGGGTTGAAGGCAAGCGACATACAGGCGCGGGAGGATGCGCGTAGCCCACGTGCAACGCAGCCAGGCGCACGCCAGCCGCGAGCTGGGCATGCATGCGCCAAGTCGTCCGTGCAGGGCGCGGCAGAGGGTACACGATGCCGCTTGGAGGGTTCAGATCCCTCTCCTCCTCCTCCTCCTCCTCCTCCTCCTCCTCCTCCTCCTCCTCCTCCTCCTCCTCCTCCTCCTCCTCCCGTTCCTCCTCAATGACGTCCCGAACGGCACTTACGCTGGAGAAAGCTGTTCCCCACCTAGCTACGGCCCCGCTCGGCAGAGGGGGGCCGCCCTGCACTCCCCGTCGGCGGCCGCCCTCCCGCCGGCGTGCACGTGGCCGCTGCGCGCTGCGCGCCGCAGTTTAATATCTCGGGGAACGGAGAATGGCATGATCATAAAAACTCGGAGGTCGAGCACGAGACACCTATGGCGGGCGAGCACGGGACGCCCAAAGCGGTCGAGCACGAGAGCGGAGCTGTCCAACGGTCGGACAAGTCAAGTCGGTCCAGCACGAGACACCTACGGCGGTCGAGCAAGTCAGATCGATCCAGCACGCCACACCTAAGGCGGTCGAACAAGTCAGGTCGGTCGAGCACGAGACACCTAAGGCGGCCGAGCACGGACAAGCCAGGTCGGCCTCCTGGAGAGGAGGTAGAGGGCAAGGAGGAGGAGGAAGAAGAGGAGAGAAGGGAGGAGGACCATCGTGCATAGCGGCCGAGCTCAGGGACCACCTCCTGCGCCCCCCTCTGGTGTCGAGAAAGTGCCACGCCTGCTGTGCCTGGACGACCGTCGTGCATAGCGGCCGCGCTCAGGGACCACCCCCTGCGCACCCCCTCTGGTGTCGAGAAAGTGCCACGCCTTGCTATGCCTGGACGACCGGCGCGTATAGCGCCGCGCTCAGGGACCACCCCTGCGCCCCCCTCTGGTGTCGAGAAAGTGCCACGCCTGCTGTGCCTGGACGACCGTCGCGCATAGCGGCCGAGCTCAGGGACCACCTCCTGCGCCCCCCTCTGGTGTCGAGAAAGTGCCACGCCTGCTGTGCCTGGACGACCGTCGTGCATAGCGGCCGCGCTCAGGGACCACCCCCTGCGCACCCCCTCTGGTGTCGAGAAAGTGCCACGCCTGCTATGCCCGGACGACCGCGCGAGCGCACCCCCTCTGGTGTCGAGAAAGTGCCACGCCTGCTATGCCTGGACGACCGGCGCGTATAGCAGCCGCGCTCAGGGACCACCCCCTGCGCACCCCCTATGGTGTCGAGAAAGTGCCACGCCTGCTATGCCTGGACGACTGGGGCGTATAGAGACCGCAGCGAGAGACCACCCCCTGCGCACCCCCTATGGTGTCGAGAAAGTGCCACGCCTGTGCCACGACGGGGCGTATAGAGACCGCAGCGAGAGACCACCCCTGCGCACCCCCTATGGTGTCGAGAAAGTGCCACGCCTGCTATGCCTGGACGACGGGCGTATAGAGACC